AGGAGAGGAGAGGAGAGGAGAGGAGAAAGGTGAAATGGAAGCAACAGTGAGACAACAGAGAGGATTTCAGGAGAAGAGCCTCTTCCCTTCTCAGGCTCTTGTGAAAGACCCAATGCCTGTAAACCTGATTCTGGCTATTTTAACTATCTTAGATTTTCCTCCCTGCAGCAAGGGCAGGGGGCCAGCAACATCCACCCCAGCCCTGCTCCTGCCAGCAGAAGTTATTATTATTTTTTGTTCCCTGACAACAATGCACTGTTAATTTTGCTGCTCCTGTTCCAACACGACCAGCTTTCCTCTCTCTCTTTTCCAGGCAGCAAGCAGGAGAATTGCAGACAATCCTTTCCCATTGCTGTGTGTAGATAGCCCGTAACAGCAGAGCTTGTGCCTGCCTGTATGCAAGCAACAGAAAGTATTGTTTCTGGACCTTCAGGTGAACACAGAGCTTAGCTAATAGGCTAAATGCAATTAAGACCTTTGACAGCTTTGTTCAGTCTCTGTAGGACTCAGCAGAAACCTTCAGGACTAAAAATAAAGGACACCCACTTGATCACAAGTCCCATGGGACAGGCTGGCTGGTGTTTTCCAGAGGCAGGGACTGCACCGATAACTCACACACATGTGCACGCACACACAAAACACCGTTACAAACTAAACGTGCACTTCCCAGGTCCTTGTAGGAGGAAGCAGAAAGAACCAAGGAACTGTTTCCCCAGGCCATGAAAGCTGACAGCAGTTCCCCTTTAATAACAGTTTCCAGTTCCATTTTAGCCCTCTGGCTTCACAGAGTGTATAACCAAGTAGCAACAAATAAAAATATGCATTAATTCCAGCTGGTTTGTCTCAAACACCACGTCCAATCCCTGTCTTCTCGTCTCTGGGTGCTCAGCTGCCGTGTGAACATGGCTGGCAGTTTGTGCATCTTGGCAGCCACACAGCACCCTGGCTCCGTAAGGGAATTAGAGTGATTAACCGTTAACCACAAGAGCTTTCTGATCTCAAGGCAGAGTGGTAACTGGCTCTGGAGAGGGAAACTAGGAGCTGCGATTTGGCACAGGGTATGGGGACACAGGGATTTTGCCTAGGGTCAGGAGGAGAAGCCAGCCCTTCGACTTGTGGCCCAACAGACACAAAGTTAAACCCAAAAGTGCCATCTGGTAAGACTCCCAGCTGGGATACAGTACAGGTCTGTGATACAGAGTTTGGTCAGCTCTTACTCCTCAAGAGATCTGAGCATCTCCAGTGGTACAGACATTCAAGATAGTCATGAAGTTACAGTTCATCTGCCTTCACTACAGCCCTTCTCCAGCTCTAGAAAGTTCAGCTATGGTCCTGTTTTCTTTCATTTTCATCATTAGGCCATGAAACAATTTCAGGGTGTGGCCAGGCAAATCCAAGTAATCACTTCAGAGTGGTTTAAGTCACCTTCCATCAGCTGGCATGCAGTAACCAAGGGCAAACAAGGTATTAGTCTGTTGCAACTGAATTTTGCAATCCAGTAGACTAGAAAAATCCCCAGTGTGCACACAGGTATCGGGTGGCTCCGTCGTCAGTATCTAGCTATATGTCCTATGGGCTTGTTAGGCCAAAATTATGAACCATCCCTGTGGTAGCTGGAGTTTTAGGCTTTGCTCCCCTGTCCTAGCCAACCTACTGGCAATGTGGACAGGAGCATCAGAGATCTCAGTGAATGGCTGCTGCAGTTCTTTCTTTAGGCCCCCATTAAGAGAACATTTCCATGCATATCAAGAGTTTTGCTGTTGCAGCCCTACAGCCCCCCATGAGCCTGGGAGAGGTTCGAAAGCGCCTCAGCCAGTGTGCTCGCAGGCCACTGCTGAGTCCTCTTCACCTGCCGAGATGTCAAAAGGAAGATTAGGGAGAAGAAAAAAAATCCATGACATACATACAAACAGCGTCTTTCAAATCATCTTGTCATAACACATTAAGGAGCGTTGATTTATGGTTGTAAAGGCATCAAATAAATGTTTAGTGCAGCGGCTGGTGCCAAATATGAATAATCCCAGAGAACAAGTGGAAACGGTTAACAATAGTCTTGTTCCAAGCAGCTGCTCCTCACTCCCTCCTTCAGCTGCCTGGTGTTTCCTGCAGCCATTTCAAATTTTCTCCTGCCTATCATGCTCAGACAGCAATACACCATGGTATGATAAAACTGGAAACAGTACTAGTAATTAAAAATTTTTGGCCTCAAACCAGAAATGAGAGTTGAGATGGGTTCACACAACTCTGATTACAAGTCTTTCAGGATGCACAAATGCACACTGCCTCCCCTGCAAAGCATCTCCCAGAGTAGCATGAGTGTGTGTCGCTGCTTGGTTTGGTCAGGAAAATTCACCCTGCCTTTCATTTGTGTGAGGAAGCAGGACTTCATGAGGAATAAACACCAGGAGCAGGACATGCTGGGAACGGATAAAAACACTCACAGGCATTGAACTTGATGACTGTCAGAAAATTGTGCATTATATTTACAATTTCCATTATCTGTAAAGCAGTTGTGAAAATGATCTAGAGCTGGTTTTCCCCAAAGGTGAAGAGCCAAGGCACTGGATAAGGGCTATTATCAAACCAGATGTGGAAACACAATCCTCCATCCTTTCTACACTTGCATCTACTCAGCTTAGTCACTGACAGGCCAAAAAGAGTCAATTAGGATGATTTTGTTTAAACTCTAGTTTACTATAACCACAGTTCCTCCCTCCTGCATCCAACCTGTGCCCTGCAGTTAAAGTAGTGTGTATTTTTTAGAAATCCCTCAAATCTTGCAATTCTTAGATGATTCGTCCTGTCTCTCAGCAAGGCTTAAATAATATACCAACATTGTTAACTGCGTACCTTATTTTTAGCCTGAATGCATTTGTTCTAGTGATAGAATAGAGGGTATTTCCCAAGACAGAAGACAAACTTGTGCCAAAACACTGTAAATAACAAGGAGCAAGGTTCAGCACAGCGAAAATAGGAGTTAAGACTTGTTAGGAGGCCAAACTTGTGCCAGCGCATGCAGAATGTTTTTTACTTAGAGGCGTAAGAAAAGTTTTGTTTTCATGGTCCTGAAGACTTTCTCACCAAATGCCTTGAGAGCCCTCAACTGATGTAGGCATCTGGTAGATGTTCCCCCTTCTCTGCAGCCTCTGCAATCAGAGGAGCGAGAGCAGTGCCTCCACACAGGCATCCACATGGGAAGTGGACAGCTTGCCCTCTGGGGTTATCTGTCTTTCTCCTCTGATCACAAAGGGAACCTGGAACAGGACGGGTGGGCAGGCTGAGGTGAGGCACGCAGGGATTTGATCAGCCCTGGCTTTCTTCAGACGCTGAGTCTTGGAACTCAAAGGGTTTCTTTCTTGGCAGGTCTGATTTCTACAACTTCACGGCAGCTGGATCGAGAATACAAGGCTGAACATATCCTAGAGGTGGGTAATGATGATTGTAATTAGCTTTATTTACCTACAATTGTATTAAGTCCTCAAAGAGCTTTCCTTGCAAGTTGGAGCACAGAGAAAGAATCTCATCCCATCAGCTCCCAACTGCTGGGAAACTTAATTAAATGCTGTGTGTTGCCCTAAGAGACAGCTGCAGCAGTACTGCAGGGTTTATTATTTCCTCACTGAAGACTGCAGCAAAAGGCCTGTTCTGGAAGCTGTGGGAATGCAGAAAGAGGATTGGAATTGTCCTCTAGCAGGATGGATAATAAGTTATGGGGGAAAGAGCAAGCCAGAGAAATCCGCTCTCATTTATCGCATTGTATCAGACATTACTGTGTAGCTGTGTGTTACTGGCTCCCATCCTTAGCTGCTCCGAGCTACGCGTATTTACATTAGAGGGATCTTGAGGTGTTTCAGTCTGTCAGGGTGACTGAGGGTAATACATTTCTCTCTGCAATGCAACATGCTGGGAGCGTGCACAGGCACAGTGAAGTGAGGATGGGTGATAACTTGCCAAGCCATTGCAATATAAACATTTTCAGTTGTGTGACTCCTAATGACCGATCTGACCCGCGGCCCAGAGCAGCACCAAGCAGGAGCCCTGCAGACGCCTCTCCCTGCGGAAGCACAAGCCTTGCACACCAGATTTTACCCTTGCAGAGAGGAGCAATGCCTCTGAAAATGTTGAGATGCAAATGCAGATGCACACAAATCCCCTAGTTTAGTCATTGCCCATCAAGATGAAGGCTGGTTGCTCATGTCTTAGGTCATGACAAGAGCTCTGTCACCTAATCCTTTTGCTTGCTGGCAGGTGGCTGTTTCCGACAATGGAGAGCCAGCCCTGAAGTCCACCAGCAGAGTCGTGATACAAGTCCTGGATGCCAATGACAGTCCTCCCAGTTTCCCCCACAAACTTTTCATGGTGCAGCTCCCTGAGAGAGATGCCTCGGAGACACCGCTGCCAGTCTACAGGCTGATTGCTTCGGACCGTGACCAGGGCCAGAACAGCCAGATCACCTACACCATTGAGGAGGAGGAGGAAGGGATATTCACCATCAACCCCACAACTGGCATGGTGTTCTCCAGGAAAGCTTTTCCTGCCTCTGAATACAACATACTCACGGTAAGAGGCGAGAAAAACAGAGAGACCCAATGGGAAGAGATGGGTGGAAAGGGAAAGACGCTGAAGAAAAAGAAAACATAAAAGAAGGAAAGAGATGGAGAAAATACAGCAGTGGGATGGAATGAGACAAACTTGGGTTACAGGGAGAGAAACTGGGAGGGAATGACAGGAAATGCAGATGGTAAGAAGCTATTAAAAATGGAGGATAAATTTAAAAATAACTGTCCAACCCGCTCTCAGAGATGAACACAGTGATCCATGATCCCGTAAGGATGTGGACCCGAACCTGAACACTGTTTGGGTTTCAGCAGTGCCTCCATTTGGCAGTCTGATCAGGCCATGGGGCTTGGATATAAGTTCAAAGCTCTCCCACACTCTGTGGGTCTTTGCAACAAGGCTCACGATCGAGGTTTCTGCTGTGGACTGAGCTTGGCAGATTTGCTTGATTGTCAAGAGGAATTTGGGTTGCACAGCTCTACCTTGGAAGCAGCAAGAGCACGTGCCACTGTGTCAATATTTGTTTTGTGGGATTCTGGGCGCACTCGCATGTGAAGCTCCTGGTGGGTGGGAGAAGCAGCTTCCCATGGGGCTTCCATGGGCTAAATGAGCCTTCTCCTTGACTGCATGTGCATTTCCCGGCAGGTCAAGGCAACAGACGGTGGCAGCCCACCACTTTCCTCCCACGTGCGGCTTCACATCAGCTGGGTCGCCCGGCCCGGCCCTTCCTCGGAGCCACTAGCTTTTGATGAACCCCATTTTAATTTTGCCGTGATGGAAACAGACCCTGTAAACCATATGGTGGGAGTGATCAGCATTGAAATGGGCCCCAGCCAAGTGTGGTTTAATATCACAGGTGAGACGCAGAAATTAAACCAGGGCAGCAGTGTCTGGGAGCATTTGCCCCAGTTCCCTTGGCTTTCAGCACTCACATGCCTGAACTAATGAAGTTGTTTGCTTTAGGTGTAGGTGAGCTACAGGGAAAGCTTTCTCACAGACACCAAAAGGTTTGAAGAGCCGTAGACAAAGCTGCCTGTCCAAGGGCTCCTGTGCCAAGTGCAATTATCTAACGCACTTTTTTAATGACATTCTGGGACTTGCCCATGTTTGAGGTGTTCTCCGATGTCGCGTGAAAGGCAGGGCATGCCAGCCCCAGCTCCTCCAGGGAATCAAATGACACTGTTGGTTGTGGTAAAACAGCCTATGAAGATCCAGGTGTCTGGCTGGGTCTTTCTGACACACACACACACACACACCCCCCCCCCCCCGCCATCTCTCCATCCCTGCTGAGCCCACAGTCTCAACAGCGAGCCAAGAGGGAAGAATTCCTCAAAGAGCTGGTCTGACCTAACTGGTGAGGCTCTCCCTTTCACCTCACAGCATCCTAGGGGTGACTTTGACATGAAACATGAAGAAGCTCTAGGGCCTCCTCTAAGACACACAATGCTAGGGCAGAGGGGACATGGTCTGTCACACCAGGCGCCTCATCAGGCAGTGCGTGTGCAGAACTGGTCCTACCAGTGAGGGCCAATTGTGCTCATGTAATTTGGTGTTTTGAAGTGGTGCCCCAAACTGCCTCACACAGCCTTTCCCTGACACTGCCTGCAGGGCTTGCCCTTGTCAAACAAAGTCTTAACTGGGTGAGTGAATAGTTTTTCCCTGTTACTGTGTTAGGGCAGGGATAATAGTGTATAAACACAATTAAGCAACAGGAGATACAAGGCTACAAGGAGTAGACAATATCAGTGCAAGGTTTATCTGGCATTAGAAGTGTCTGCTATGGTTTGCAGAATTAATGATATATTCCTCTGAATGTTATCCCATCATTTCCCTGATGAGTGCTTGCCTGTATGCTCGATCTCATCTTTGCCAGTTCCCAGTGCATGAAGTGCTACTCAGGGTTCTCTTGGTGTCTATGCTGGTGGAAGAGGACAGGATTTCGTTTTCCCTGCTAGGGAAGAAAAGCATCATTGTAGCTGGCAACCAAGAGGGTGATGCAGAGATCTAGGAGCCTTTTCATATCTCATTCAAAAACTTGTCTTTTCCAGCCCACAAAGGCTCTATCGTTGCAAAAACTCTGACAAAGCAGCATCTTTCTTCATCTCTTTCCTTTCCTGGGTTTCCTCTTTTGCATCAGCACCATGCAAAGGGAGCCCTTCTCTTTTTTTCTCAGGGAAAGGCATCCAAGGGTCTCTCTTTTCCTCTGTTTCTGCTTCTTTCTGTCTCCTTCCCAGCAGGAAAGTAGTGGTCCAGATGGCTGGCAACCACTGCATTTCTCCCACAAGGGAAGATGTGTAATTTAACAACCACCCAAGATTTTCCCAGCTGCTAAGAGAATAGAGTGGAATCCAGAGCATCCAGTAGACAGGAAGGGAGAAGTTGAGACCTGGGATAAATCACAGAAAACTGCTTCTGCCTCCCTGTATCTCAGAACAGTGTAGCAGTGTTTCATGTGCAATACAGAATTAACAGGCCACCAGCAAGCGAGGCATGAGAAAGCAAGGCACACCGGTGCCGAACAGCAATAGCATGAGGGACAGCCTTCTGCTGCTGAGCTGCTCAGGCCTGTGGTTCCCTGCACTACGCAGCCATCTGGGTTGGAGACAACAGGCTCTGCTCACCCTGGAAGCACCGTCTGCCTCCCCAACTGTTCAAATGTTGGGCTTCTTCAGGTAGCTCACAGGCTCCCAACCGTGGCAATGAAGACCATCGCTGATATGCCCACAGTGTGACCTTGAATCGGAAGCCAACAAGAGTGTTGTTCAGCCCTGCAGGTCCCTGATCCATGCTAAGGCTGTGATGCTGCATAGCTGGAGACCTTGTGCAAATAAATCAATGCCCAAATGTGCCTGTTGCAACCTAGCCAGGACATCGTATGCATATGTGCATCCCTTCCCCTTCTCTCCTCCCCCCCATTTTCTCTAATTCCCCTCACCTTCCCTTTCATACTCCTTTGCACCATCTGTGACTACCTCTTTGTCCAGCTCCTGCATGTCCTCCCTGTCTCCTGTGTCCTTCTATGACATTTTGTACTGAGTTTCTAGATTTGGGGGACACTATCTCCAGTCTAGCTGTGGCCAAAGAGGTACAGCTAGAGTGAACGCCTACCCATCCCCATTCAAGGTATGTCACCTGGCATGCCACATATATGTGGCTGGGCATGAGCTCCTTGTGTGGTTTGTTATGGTGTCTGGAGGAGTGATCCTCATCCTTTGGATCTCCAGGCAACTCCTAGAATCCCTTCCCATGAAGAAGCTGCCAGCACCTGCAGCTTGCTCTGGACAGAAATCTAACTGTAACTGCCCCTCATTTCCTTTTCTCATCTCTCCCCTATCCCAGGTGGTGACGATGACATGGATTTTGACATTGAAAAGAGTACAGGCAGCATGGTCATTGCAAGAGCCCTTGATGCAAGGAAGAAGTCAAGCTATAACCTGACAGTAGAAGTCACTGACGGGTCCACTACCATCAAAACCCAGGTAATGTTTTTTCTTTAGTAGACACCCCATCTAGAGCATATATATGCCAAAGGGAATCTCTTCTGACTCTGCTGAGCTCTGGATCAGGTGCCAGACACAAGAATCTCCTTACACTGTGATCTTACATTACACAGTGACCCAAGCCTTTCCTAAGTACCAAGCTGAGATTTTTTTATGACCTTGGAAACACAAGTGGTCTAGGAAAGCCTGGGCCTTTCCTGTTGATCACAGCCAGCATGCAAGGATGCATCTACACTACCAGCCAAGCTGGGGTGGAATTTCATACTCTCAGACCTCAACTTGCTCTCAGCTGCTCAGGCTGAACTACAACATGGCCAGGACAACACACTAAGACACAAGGGACACGCATACACAATTAGATCAGGTTTGGGTGCATGGTACCATGTCACTGGGACTTAGTACCTGGGACTTTGCTAGCCTATGTAAAGCCAACACAGACACATCTGCAAGAGGTGAGGTCAGGCCCTGCCCTGTGCTGCACCAAGTGTGTGGAGCATTGATAACACATCAGCACAGAGGTCCAGGGGGCAAGTGGGGCAACTGCAGAGGTGCTGTGTCCTCTCAGTGGCCACGTGAATAGCAAGTGCTGGTGATCTCAGTGGCCACGTGAATAGCAAGTGCTGGTGAAAGGAGGCACTTTACCCTCAGGCATGTGCCCAAGCCGCAGTTAAAATGACTGCTGAGATTTGCCCATCTTTACCTACCCTCAGGAGGGGTATTCAGGCTTGATCTTTCACCAACCATTTTCTCCACACATCAGAAGCAGCCAAAAATCCAGCCTTCACTGCACAGGAAGACCTAGAATGTGAGTCACCCGTCAGTGACGTTTATCATGGGAAATTCACTGCGGAGGTTGGCGGGGGATGATGAGTGAGGAACACTACCATTCCTGTGAAACGTAATGTCAACTATCTTCAAGTACTGTTCCAAATAAACAAACAAAGCCCCACCTTGCCTGGTGTGCATTCCCTGCCACCTTACATCTCATCCTTACGTTTATTTTGGCACTCAAGGCCACTAGCAGATGTCAGAAAACCTGCTTGTGCAAAACACCCATGGCATGCTCAGGTTTGCTAAAGGAAGCTAATTATTACACTTGGTTGGGACTTCCTAAGATGCAGTGAACACATCAGTACGGGGCTGAAGACAGTTGCTGTAGGAGACCAAATAGAAGAAACTATGTGACTTTGCAGGCAGGATTCAGGCAGACCATTCACAGGGGTTTGCTGTTAAATGCAGAGGGGAAGATTTGGCTAAAAAGTGTAGACAACAAACTTTGCTTCTGCAAGCCTTCTCCACACACATGCTGCTCTTAAGATAGGCCAGCCCCTCCCTTCCTTTACCAAACATCCCACCTCTGACAGCTTTCTGGTGTGTAATAAATGAGGGCTGGTGTGGAGGCACCAGCCAGCAAAGCTGGTACCATGGCTGAGCAGCTGCTACTTTTCATAGCAGGCTGCAACGGTTTTCCCGTGTGCCAAGGGCAGGCACCTTCCTCTGCATGGTTTGCCAGATTGGAGAGATTAAAAAAAAATGAGAGGAAACAAACTGAAAATCAGTAAGGAAAGACACAGCAGGAGCCCCCTGGGGAGAAGGACAAAAGGGCTCGCAGTCACCATGGATGGCAAAGCCCCAAGAGTTGGAAAGACGTGAGGTTACAAGGCTCAGAGCACGGCTACACCCAAGAGGGATTGGTAGCTGAGATTTTACATGGCTGCATAAGTCAGGTTGCTCCCATGTCTCTGCTGCCCTCACTGTGCCGTCTCCCCGACAGGCATTTATCCATGTGATTCACATCAACCAGCACCGTCCCCAGTTCCTGGAGAGCCATTACGAGGTGAGGATTCCTGAAGATACCACTTCAGGGAGGGAAATCCTTCAAGTCAGTGCAACAGACAAGGACAAAGGCAAAGGGCTCATCTACACCATCCATGGCAGCATGGACCCCAAAAGCACAAGACTTTTCCAGTTGGATCCAAGCAGCGGAGTCCTCACTACAGCAGAAGGCTTCAGTTCCCAGCCCATGCCTCAGCACACCCTAACAGTGATGGTGAGTCTTAGCCAAACCCTGCTGAGTCCATCAGCTTGGCCAGGATACAAGGGTCACCGGAGAAATTAGAACTGGTTCTAGTCTTTGAGGGAGGATTTGTCTAGAACAACAGGGAAGAGGAAAGCAGGGTGTTAACCTTTACTATTTAACCATCCTGGATAAATCTAGGTAACACTCTGCTTTCCTCTAACCGTGTGCTGAGCCCATCACCTGCAAATTTCGCTGGAGGGTCATTGGATTCTCATACAACAAAGCACAGTGAATAATTGTTAATGTTTGATTTCAAGGTCAAGGCTGAACTTTGGTGCTGAAAGTTACAGGCTCGTTCCCACCCAAGGGGTTGTACCACTGAAAAATGCCACCTTCTGTAAGAGACCTGATGAGCTACTTGGAAGCCTGGTGCAGGCGAGGCTGCCTACTCCCTGAGTGTAACCCTACCTGCTCTTCCTCTGTCATTCAGGTACGAGACCAGGAGGTCCCTATCAAAAGGAACTTTGTTCGAGTCATCATTCATGTGGAGAACTGCAACCTTCACCCTCCACAGTTCAGCAGCATCCATTACGAAGCAGAAGTGCTTGACGCAGCAGTGGTGGGCACAGAGGTTACACAAGTCAGAGCCCTTGATCAGGATCAAGGACCCAATGCTGAAATCCACTACTCCCTTCAGGCAGGTGAGCACCATGCAACAAGACAGTTTAGGCTATGAACATGCCTGCACTTCTGTGCTCTAGCTGGTGGCCAGACAGTTGACCAGCTCTCTCCAGTTGTTCCAAAGAACAGTAAATGGCTGTGTATCTAAAATTTTATTTCCTTCCTATCCAGAGAAAATAAAGAGCAAGCAGGTAATTTCCGTATTATGAAATATTAGCATCCTTCCTTAAGAAGACAGCTCAATGTTGAGTCACTGGTCTAAGAAAATATGTGATTGAACGAGCTAGAACAACTTAAAATCCGCTCTTCTCATCCATGGGAACTGAGGGAGGGATCCCTCTTCAGTTGTTAGGCAAAAGTACTCAGATTCCCACAACAGTCAAAATCACTTCCACCATTTCTACCAAGAAACAAATCCTTGAGGAGAAGTGAGCACCCTCTCAGTGTTGGTTGATGGTGGGTTTGGGTCATACAAGCTCAGCAGGCAAGTATTTTATCATTTACTCTAAAGGTAAAAACCTAAATATTTGTGTCTGTGTCACACTGCCTGTTTAGCAGGTAAATTCTTTGCAGGAGACAAGCCATCCTTTGCTCCATCTTTCTCGCTGCAATTTAGATCAAGGACTGAGGAATTTAATTGCTCCTGAAATATTGGTAATTATAGCATGACAGGGCTTGAAGGAACTAGTAGAGTCTTTGCTACCGTGTTCTGCACACGAGGCAAAAGCTTCAAGCACATGCTCTGCCACCACTAAATATGCTCAAATTAGAAGGGTATTTACCTCTAATTTACCTTTTGATTGATTTAAAACTTAGCTCATAGATCTCAATGGGTTCATTGTTCTTAGATTGAAAATTATTTAGAAATTAATGAAGATTGCTGTCTCCCAGTGAAAGAAACAGATGTTAATTAGGTCTGAAATCAGGAGCATCTATGGAAAAGAGGTTCACAAAACCAAAACTAACAGGGTGTCTGCATTCTTCACTTTGTAATTTCTCTTCTTGCAGGTAATGGGGAAGGTTTCTTTAGCATCGACCCATGTTCTGGAATTATTACTGTTGCCCAGAAACTGGACCCATCCAGGCAGGAGCGATTTACTCTTATTGTAAAGGCAGAAGACCAGGGATTCCCGCAGCTTAAAGATTCTGCTACAGTACATGTCCGCATTAGACCCTCTGATCGAACACCTCCAAAATTTCCAGAGGCCGAATATATCACAGATATCAGTGAATCCACCGCTGTTGGCTCTCCTCTGATCCAGGTTTCAGCCACAAGTTTGTCACCAGTCAGCTATGAAATAAAAGATGGAAATGGAGATGGAGTGTTCTCCATGAACTACCAGTCAGGCCTTATTTCCACTCAGAAGAGCTTAGATTTTGAGCAGGTATCTTTTTACCAGTTGAAAGTTCGTTGCACCAACATGGCTGGAGCATTTGTGGACACAACGGTACTTATCTATGTCATAGATGAGAATGACAATGTGCCCATCTTCGCCAAGCCTTCCTTCGTTGGCTGGATCATGGAGAATGCTCCATCACAAAGCATGGTTCTGGATGAAAGCAATGCTCCCCTTGTGACCTATGCAACAGATGCTGATCAAGACTCCAATGCTCTGCTGGTCTATGAGATTTTGGAACCGGAGGCGCTGAAATATTTCACAGTAGATCCCAGCACAGGGACACTGACCTGTCGTGCTGATATAGACTATGAGCTCACCCCAGTTTTCCACTTCAGTGTACATGTGCGTGACAGTGGAAGTCCTAGCTTATTTGCATCCAAGCCAGCCAAGGTCACAATCCATGTTAAAGACGTGAATGATTCACCTCCAGTCTTTTTCGAAGACACTTATGAGCTTTCTGTCTTGCTGCCTGCCCACCCAGGGATGGAGCTTTTGTCAGTGCAGGCAAAAGATGCAGATTCAGAGGTGACCTACAGCATCGTGGAAGGGAACCTTGATAATGCCTTCTATATTCATCCACTCACAGGTCTCATCTCCATTCTTAATGCTACTGGCCTGGGAAGCCATCGTGAACTCCTAGTCAGAGCTGGTGATGGCTTATATAAGAGTACCGTTCTGGTTAAGTTAAATTTAACACAAGCACAAGGTACTGGCTTAAAATTTGATCAAGATGTATATACAGCAACTGTGATGGAGAATTCTACAGATGAGAAGACTCTCACTGTTCTTGGGGTCAGGGGATACCAGTTAAATGAACCACTTTTCTATTCACTTTTGAACGGAAAGGAAAGATTCAAGATGATCCAGGCATCAGGAGTACTCCAGACCAAGGGTGTGAAATTTGACCGCGAAATACAGGACATGCACGAGGTAGCTGTGGAAGTGAAAGACAATAGGAACCCACCAAGAGTGTCCCAAGCCACAGTCAGGGTCTATGTAGAGGATGTCAATGACAATCCACCGCAGTTCGAGAATGTGCCATATTACACCTCAGTGCAGGACGGCACAGAGCCAGGTGACGTACTTTTTCAGGTGTCAGCAACAGACAAAGACGTAGGCGATAATGGAGCCATTACCTACTCATTTGCAGAGGACTACAAATACTTTTGGATTGATCCCTACCTAGGAGACATCTCGCTTAAGAAGCCTCTTGATTATCAGGCTTTAAATAAATACAACCTCCGAGTCATTGCTAAGGACAAGGGCGAGCCTCCCCTCAGTGCTGAAGAGGAGGTTGTGATCAGTGTGAGGAACAAATCTAACCCTCTGTTCCAAAGTTTGTACTACCGAGTGAAGGTGCCAGAAAACATCCCCCTGTACACATCTATCCTCCACATACAGGCTCGCAGCCCTGAAGGCTTACGCCTCATCTACAACATCGTGGAAGAAGACTCCCTGAAGCTGTTCAGCACCGACTTCAAAACTGGTGTCCTTACTGTCACAGGTCAGCTGGACTACGAGCTAGAGACAAAACACATGTTCACCATTAGAGCCACAGACACAGCGCTAGGATCATTTTCAGAAGCCAGAGTAGAGGTGGAGGTAGAGGACGTTAATGACAATCCCCCCATATTTTCTCAGATCATCTACACAGCATCTGTCTCAGAGAGTTTGCCAGCACAGACCCCTGTTGTCCAGCTCTCTGCTTCTGATAAGGATTCAGGCAGAAACAAAGTGGTCTCCTATCAAATCTTGGATGATGGTTCAGAGGCTACCAAGTTCTTTAATATTGATGCCACCACAGGGCAAATAACAACAGCTCAAGCACTTGATTATGAAAAAAATCAACAGTTTCGCATGAAAGTGAGAGCTACAGATCATGGGATACCTCCACTTAGCAGTGATGCCCTGGTAATCGTAGATGTGACAGACATCAATGACAATCCCCCTGAGTTCAGCCAGCTTCAGTATGAAGCCAAGGTAAGTGAAATGGCTACATGTGGGCACATCGTGATAAAAGTCCAGGCCCTGGATCCCGATAGTGGAGACACCACCCGACTGGAATATGTGATACTCTCTGGCAACGACAATAGGCACTTCACTATCAACAGCACTTCTGGAATAATATCCATGTTCAACCGCTGCAAAAAGGACTTGGAGTCATCTTACAATCTCAGAGTTTCTGCTTCAGATGGAGTTTTCAAGAGCACTGTGCCTGTGTACATCAATACCACAAACGCCAACAGATACAGCCCCTCTTTTAGGCAGAACGTGTACGAGGCAGAGCTGGCAGAAAATGCTGAGATAGGTACCAAAGTGATTGAGCTGTTGGCTATTGACCCAGACGGTGGCCCATATGGCACCATAGACTATACCATCATAAATAAACTCGCCCATGAGAAGTTCTCCATAGACAATAAAGGCCATATTTCTACACTGCAAAAACTGGACAGGGAAAATTCAACAGAGAGAGTCATTGCCATTAAAGTCATGGCCAAGGATGGGGGTGGGAAGGTGGCCTTCTGCACTGTCAAAATAATCCTTACAGATGAGAATGACAACCCACCTCAGTTCAAAGCCTCTGAATACACACTCTCCATCCAGTCCAATGTAAGCAAAGGCTCCCCCGTCATCCAGGTACTGGCTTACGATGCTGATGAAGGTGCAAATGCAGATGTCATTTACTCTGTTGACTCCGTGGAAGATGTGGCAGAAGACCTTGTGGAGATCAATGCTGCCACTGGGGTCGTTAAGGTCAAGGAGAGCCTCATTGGTTTAGAAAACAGAGCCTTTAACTTCAAGGTGAAAGCTGAAGATGGTAGACCCCCTCACTGGAACTCCCTTGTCCCAGTGAATCTTCAGATTGTCCCCAGGGAGGTGACATTGCCAAGGTTTTCTGAGCCCCTTTATACATTTTCTGCATCTGAGGATCTTCCAGAGGGATCAGAAATAGGGTCAGTCAAAGCTTTTGCAGAGGATCCCATCATATACAGCCTGGTGAAGGGAACCACTACAGAAAGTAACAAGGATGAGGTGTTCACACTGGATGAGCGAACAGGGGTTTTGAAAATCAAAAAGGCCATGGATCATGAGACCACCAAGTGGTACCAGATTGATGTTATGGCTCACTGCTCACATCAGGAGACTGAGCTGGTCTCTCTGGTCTCTGTGAACATCCAAGTGCAGGACGTCAATGACAACAGACCTGTTTTTGAGGCAGATCCCTACAAAGCTTTTGTCATGGAGAACATGCCATCAGGAACCACAGTCATTCAAGTGACAGCAAATGACCAGGACATGGGAAGTGATGGGCAGGTGACCTACAGTCTGGAAGCAGAATCTGGCAACCTCCAACGACTCTTCACCATTGACAGTGAGAGTGGTTGGATCACCACATTGAAAGAGTTGGACTGTGAAGATCAGGAGATCTATCAGCTTTATGTGGTGGCCACTGACCATGGCAGGAAAGTTCAGCTCTCTTCCCAAACCTTGGTGGAGGTCACTGTCTCTGATGAAAATGATAATGCTCCACAGTTCACCTCAGATTTCTATAAAGGATCGGTAATCGAGAATGCGGAGCCAGGGCAGGTTGTTGTCACACTGAGTACCATCGATGCAGACATCTCTGAGCAGAATCGGCGGGTCACGTGCTACATAACTGGTGAGTTTTTTCTGACTTTAAATCTCCAGTTAGCAAGAATAAAGTATCATCTCAAAGTGAGGATTTGGTACTTTGTCCTACAGAATATTAATACAGAAATAGTGTTATGCTGACAGTCCTATCAAAAGCAGATGAAGCCCAAGCTCTGTCATGAGCTGGACTCTTCAGTTAAATGAGTCTGGAGTATCCAAAACCCTTTAGTAACTAACTGCAGTAGGTGGAATTATCACTGTAATAACTATCTCACCACTGAATCATCCCATTTATTTGGGAAAAAAAAAAAATTACATAGCACTGTAGGTATATTTATTTACAGTTTCTTAACAGAGGAATAATTAAGACAGTGTAATTGTAATACTTATTGGAAGGACAGAAGCAGTGGTAGAGCAGGAGGGAAGTTTTTTCCTCACATACATACTGTGACCTGTATTTAAGTTCTTTGACCCAGCTTTTTCTCGTGCAAACGGTGCAGTCAGTTTACACATCACACATATGTGTAGCCTGGTTGTGTTTTTTAATAACTACATATATGCACATAGGATGTATATAAATTTCTGGTATTAAATGTGTTTCCTATGAAGCCACTTTGACTTAACAAACAAATAGACCTCACAAGACTGCAGTTAACCACTCTGGTGGATATTTGAGACTCTCATACCAATCTTAGTGAAGGTTTTGGCTAACAAGAAATACTAAAGATGACTCTTGCATCTCTGAAACATCAGTTGTGCCAACTAAAATTAACCACTGCCGTAAAACAACAAAAAAGTTATACCGGAGTATTTGTTGTGCATCTGCACAAGTAAAAGCTTGATTTTTACAGTACTTTTTGACCCCCAAAGGGTCTTTCTCAGACCCAGAACAGATACTTCAAATTAAAATGTTTGTTCAAACTCAAACAAAGGAGGACCCTTCAGGGTCAGTCAGATCATGCTACAGCCTGTTATCTATTATTGTAACCATCCAAAACAGAGGAGGAATGCTGGAACTTCCAAATGGTTCGTGGCATGCCTAGGTGTTTGCAAGCCTTTGGGAGGAAAGATTCAATCCATTTATGTATTCGCATTTCTGCCACCTTAAAGATAGTAATAACTTCTAACTAATTTAAACCTGAGAGAATGCACATTTATGGCAGTGGTGAATACAATATGCTCTCTCTGCTATGTACTTAGAAGCATAGGTCAAACTCTACCCATAAACACAGAAACACAACTGTAGTATAGCGCTGCAGCAAAAGAAAGGAGGAGGTGAACACAGAGCCTGGCTTCCCCTTGCTCACATGCACATTAATTTCAAACACAAAGGAAACTAAATCTGATCATGGGCCGGAGTCTCCCAGTGTCAGAAGGGCTAGCAGAGGTCTCATTGTGCCTCCAGATTCACAGCCTCATCGCCGCAGCGCAAATGAAAGCAGAAAGAGAGTGAATTTAATTTACCCGGCTGTGTAAAGCCCTTCAGAGCGTAACACAAACAAGCCCTGCAGCCAGCTCTCTTCATTGCCTCCCATTAAGTAATGTGCTCCCTCCTTCTGCCCAATGGCGT